CAAAATTATCTTTGCGATACACATCCCGATTCTAAAACCAGAAACTTATTCATGATTCCACACCTACCCAGTGATCCATAACAAAGCACTATTGATCCCCAAATTCCCATACATGGCTAAAGCACAAACACGAAAACAATCTCGATCGACGCATGCCCAGTAATCAGAGACAATTCCTACTGCCCAGAGTAATTAAACCCAAAGGACAAACAATTGTATTGAAAACTTAATGGACAATTTACCTATTACTGATTGTCCAGTCTTCAAAATCAATCTACAAGACCCAATAATCGAGCAAGTTACTCGAGAACTAGTTCTAGTACTTCCAGGAAAACAAGAAACCATGTTAGCCAAATGCCACACCCATCAGTATCACCAAATCAAAGAATCAATGTTGATCGCGATACCAGATGGATGCCAGGTTGAAATCAACTACAAAACATTTTCCAATGACGTTAAAATTCAAGATGGAAAACCACTGTTGCTACCTGCAGTAATTTTAGCAACTTAGCAAAATATGGCCAACTACTTAGTATCCCACAATGGTTACAACCCCGATTCAACCCAACGTTCAACCCAAAGTCCTGGATACTATTTGTCATAATAGTCGTCGTGTTCTTCACCATCATCGCTGTTAAGAAGAAAATGCGACAATCATTCTGGAAATCTTGGAGGACCAATCGGAAAGAAGTACAAGAATAAGAGGCCACCACCCAACAACCCTGCCATTCGAAAACACGTCCCTGAATTTTCGAATCTTAAGGAGGGAGGAGTTATATCTACGCCATAAATGGAAACTACAAACGCAGCAGCGCAATTCCAAGGTCTTCAGAGGAACAACAAAAACTTACTTTCCCCCCATACATGGCGAACGGGGACTGGTTTATACGGACGAGGAAAAGGCAGAAGCTTTCGCCGATTCCCTAGAACGCCAGTTCTCGCCCAACATGTCGCAGACTGACGACCTGGATTTCGAGGAGGAGGTTGAAAACATCCACCTAGAAATCATGCACAGACTAAATTTTTCTCAAAATTGGAGACCCATCAGCCTCCTATCCTGTCTCTCCAAAATCACAGAAAAACTCTACCCAAGCCGCCCTCTTGACCTCTCCGAACTCCAACTAATTCCTCGAGAGCAGTTCGGTTTCAAGCAAAAACATGATTTTGTGCTGCAAGCCAGGCTAATTCAAGATGCCGCGATCGCTGCCCAGGACAAGGGCTCCACTGGAGTCCTTTGCCTGGACATCCAAAAAGCGTTTGACAAAGTATGGCACGAGGGGTTAATTTGGAAACTCCTCCACCTACACAAACTCCCCTTAACCTTCGTCCAGTATGTGGCAAGCTTTCTCCAAAGTTTTTCTTATCACTGAACGGAACCAAATCTTCTATTCGGTACATCTAGGCCGGGGTCCCCCAAGGCGCCCCGCTCTCCCCAATTCTTTATAACCTATTCACGGCTGATGCCCTCTAAAACCCGCACACCAAAATAGCCCTATTTGCCGTCGACACTGACCTCTACTACTCCCACCGTAACCCCAAATATATCGTTTGCATCCTCCACAAGCAGCTCGACGCCTTCCAGGATTGGTCCCAAACCTGAAAAATCTAAATAAATCCATGAAAAAAGCCCAAACCTTGCTCATAACCAACAAAAGAATTACATACAAAACCCCCAGACTTACTCTAAACGGCTCCATCCTCGAATACTTCAAAACCATCACATACCTTGGGATAACAATAGACCCCAAACTAAACTTCAATGCCCACATCGCCTCTGCTCTCAAAAACACCCACAAAACCACAGCGTGTTTGTACCCCCTTCTAAACCGTAAAAGCACCCTCTCCCTTAAAAACAAAATTCTTAATTACAAACAGGTCACCAGATCCTTAGCCAAACCTCCAAAATCGCCATCGCAAAACTGTAAAAATTCCAAAATAAAATCCTGCGGCGAATCACGAGGCCCCCCTGGTATGTCCGCGATTCCCAGATCCATGCAAACCTCGAAATTGAAACCATTGAGGACTTCATTTCAAGGCTTCACGACAAATTCTAAATCCGCTTACTATCACATCCAAACCCCATAATCCAAGCCACCTTCTCCCAAAAAATCCCCAAACACAATTTCCGAACACCAACTAGCCTCATGTCAAACCCCCCTTGGTACCATCCACCGTAGCCGAACTGACAAAAAAACCCAATTACTAAACGCTAGACTACTTTAAAAGCCTTCCAACTCGCCCCCGCGCAAAACGCTTCCTGGAGCCTTAAAAGTCTAAACAACTTGCCCCTTTTCTAGTTTCTAAAGCGTCAAAACCGCCCAAAAGAACTCACTAACGCAACACACCCCAGCTAAAAAGCAAACCCCCCCAACACCCTCACCCAGGTAACCTCAAGGTACCAGCACAAAAGACTCAAGACCTTAAATGGCCAAGTCTATCAAACTGCCACAGCACAGCAGCGCCATTTTAGACATTCTGTTGATGAAACATTTCTCTATCTAGTCTATAAGTACGCCGATTTATCACGTCCAAATAAAACTTTGGTACTTAAAAAGGACATGTTTATTTAGAAATCTCTAATTATTTTCTTATTTTTTCTATACCAAAAAATACACGTGGTAACCCCTGCTAATATAATTAGATTAATAGGAAATTCGAGACGGCTAGCACTTGTTCCGCCAAAAAGTTCCCGTATAGTTTTCCTACAATTAGCAAAAATTTGTATGTGAAAGTTCTCCCGTTATATCGTTCCCCCCGACCTTTGCTTGTATGATGTCCGCTTCGTGAACAATCTCGTAAATTTTCCTTAAGTAAAACATGTAATTTATAGAAAATAAAATAATTTACATATAAAATTTTAAACCGTTCCGACCGCTCGCTATTTATTCCTTCGTGAAATAAGATTTCTTTTTTTCTGCGCACTAACTTTCATCGTCCATCCCAATTTATTTTTCATAACGTTTATTGTTTGCTTAAATGGAGGAAATCATCTGACAATCTGTTTATGTTGCTCCTATATATCCACTCAAGGATAGAGGTTGATAGCAAATATCGTGTCTAATAAATTGCACAAAGCCAACTCATTTTCTCCCACAATATTCTTAATGGATATAATTAATTAGCGGTGCTTGCTGTGTGTTGATTAGTTAATTTTCTGCCATTTCACTTAAATAGTTGATGCATTACTTCATAACTTTGTACTTTGCAACAATTTGCAACAATATGCATATCAATAGTTTGCTGCTAAACATTTTAATTTAAGTCATAATACAAAATTCTTGGCATTTTCTCCTATAGAAAAGTTACGAGTGAAAGTCGACGACACAAATAATAAAAATTCTTAATGGGGGATGAATAAAAACGGTAAATATTGAACAAGAAGGATTTCGGTCTGCAAACAACAACCTTTCTTGGATAACGTCATATTTTCGGATTTCTCGTGTGCTTGTTACCACCAATAATGGTCTGGTTTCCTCGGGATATTATCCATTTTCTTTCACATTTTGTCCTTAACGTTAGGGCATACTTTTCAGTCATTTACTTGCGAAGCAGCAGCTTCAGTTTAAAATCCAACATTTGTATGCCTGTTAACTCTCCATATTGAGCTTTTCTCTAAAATATTCCGAGCTGCAAACATAATTTTAATGCTTGCTAATTGCTAAAAAAACACCAAGCAGGCAGCAAGGTCGTGACTAGGAAGTACAGTTTCCCAGCAAAAAGTGCCAGTGTGATTTTATTGCTAAAGCAACATGATGGACCTGACGGGTCAATTAAAACTTCTGAAGTGTTTCTTTAGTAAGTTCTAGATAGGAATCTATTTTTGGAAACTATTGGCTGATTAAGGGCGCCTCTGGAAAGTCAATGGAAAAAAACCGAATCCATATTTCCAGTTTGTCTAAGGAAATGGCATTAGAAATCGAAATTTTCTTTTTTGAAATGGAAATGAAAGCAACTTCCCATGATATATAAATTCACATGATATTCACATGATATATAAATGCGATATTCATCTATTTCCAATTAATTTTTTTGTATAATGTTACATTGAAATGTAAATAAAATAATCTTTCTTGTAGATGCAACGTTGGTTCAGGAGGCGTTTATGTTAACTTGAACTTCCTAGATGAGTTAAAAAATGTCGCTTTTCTGTGCCAATTGAAGCTTTTATGATTGCTGTTTTTTGCACAAATGCATCTTCATGGTAAATAGGAATACCAGCGTTTCAATAATTTCTCTTTTACATATTTTTTAACTTCTTTTCTTAATTGACGTACAATTATGCAAAATCACTTCTTCTGCCGATTTATACTTGCAATTGTTAAACAGAAAATAAATGAAACCTACGAATCCACTTCCACCATTATCGAGAATACTTCGAGATTAAAACCATCTCATCAACAATCACATGAAACTCAATGAATAAGTTTTATAGTTTTGTTTTATTTCAGTTTTTATGGTTTAGTTTTATAAAATTAGATTAATTCACTTTGTTCTTTGTTTGCCTTACAAAAACTTTTCAAATATGAGCAACTTTTGAACCCTTTATGTTCATCTATAAATCATTTAGTGCTGTACCATCAAGGTCTTTTCCAGCATAATAATAATAAATCCTGTGAAACTGCATAGTTTGCAGTTTATAAAGCCCTTCCAAATAACTCACAGTTATGGGTATAATGGCAACATATCTGTATTTCGTATAAGTTGAAAATATTGGATTAGTACTCACTTTGTTGAAATTTTACCGATTTTAAATTGTTTAGGTAGATTTTATCACGTATATACATGTCTATCAAAAATTGCTGTTTTGATGGTCTTAGTGTTTTTTTTTAATGAGTTGTCGTCCTAGACTTAAAGTAACTAACACCTTTTCAGTTTCAGCACCTTAACAGTACACCTTTTCATTTTGGAAACCGATTTAAATGTCGCAAATTATTGCATAAATACATTTGTAGCCTTCTTCTATAAAAATACATTTTTGGCAGAGGCACAACTATTCTTACTCTCATCATTATTCACTGCTTCCACTGCCAATGGCAAAGCTCCCAAAAGCACTTGAGCTTGTCCATAAGAGCCCAAAAATCCAAGTGTTACAATATTTGTCTCATTGTCGGATCCATCACAGGCAAGTTCACTCGGCTTGTTAAAGTACAAATTTGTAGGTGTTGTTCTTTCCGCCGCTAAATCTTCACAAGTCACATTTTCGAAAATCACTGAATTGGTTCTTGTATAGTTCACCAGACGCAGCAGGAAAATTAGAAGTGCGTGATAGTTAAAAGTCATGACTAATATTTGCAGCAACGAATCTGAAACAGAAACATAAATAAAATACAAGGGTCAGCTGGTTAAGCCTGATCATATTAAATAATGTTTAAAAGCTCGGATTTTTCTTTGAATAGGGCAATGTATTGTTTTCAGCAGGAAATATCGTCAAAATGGAGAATTTATGCATTTAAATGGTGTGGTTGTTGGAATTATTTGCCGCCTTTCGAACTCCATTAGCCCTAATGAAATAAAATGGACATTCTTAGAATGTTTCACTAAACTCTTGTCTTCGCGAGTAGAATTTCAACTAAGCAACCCCATTGCACTTAGAAATAATTAAAATTGCTGTTTACCTGTCCAACAATTTCTAAAGAAACGATATTGAACAAAATGCCAAGCCATTTTAAATTCCGTAATTGCTTTTTTCCGATTTAATTTCAATCAACAAGTGAGAAACTGCAGGGAACTGATGTTCCGATCTGTTCAATCTCAGTCACTTGCTAGAAATTTCTTTATTTAATTTTTATGGCCCGCTTCCGTTTGAAGGTTTAGTAACACCATCGAATTGTAAATTTAAATTTAATTTATTCTAATTAAAATTTAAATTGTGTATATTCAACATCAGAATTATTAGAATACGAAAATCTATTGAGGATAATTTTACTCTACGCCGTGTGAACTCCATCTGATCTGTTAGGTTTGAAACCGAAAATCTACCTCTAAGTAATAACACTGTTTTTAGTTTACCTCTGAAATTTTTTGCATATTTTTTCAGTTTGATTTTCATGTCCTTCAGCAGTTCCTCAATTTCAAAACCGCTAACTGTTTTTGTTAATCTTGAACAAATGTATAAAGTCCAATCACTGTTTTACAAATTAAAAAAAAACCCAGCAAATTTTTGAGCTACTTTTTCGGTTGTTTAGTTTTCGACATTTATTCTGTTTGATACTGTAAAACCACTTTGTACACAGTCAATAAGACTTAAATTTATGATCCGAAAAACAGTACAACGATTATGATCAACAAAACGGATTTAATTGTTTGGGAATGAAAGTTAATAATATGGCGAAGCCTTAGGCCATCGAGTGTTTACAATAACATCAAACATTATGTCTTGGGCAATGAAAAGAGCTCTCAATAGATGGGACTCTTTCGTATTTTATGAAATGCCTGAAGCAATAGCCTCTGATTGCTTTTTGTTTGTTCAGTTTTGGATGATAGGAAAGTTGTTGTCTAGCAATATCCATAACTAGATCATTTTTCCGTATTAGTTTCCTGTGTACAGTAATTATTATTTTGAAAAGGAATATGTTGGAATTGGCTTTTCTGATGTTTTCTAGCGAAACAATTATAAAGTAGCTATTTTTCAATAGGACTAGACACGCATATAAAAACTTAAAATATAAAACATATATAAATAAGTAGCTCGAATTAATTGTCCAGAGTGTTGTATCAATGTGATTTTTAACTGTTAAAGTTTAAAGCAAAAGCAATTATAAATTTTTGAAAATGAAAATCTTCGTCAGCGACTCGTTTTTTTCCACAAGTAACAACATAAATTATGGATTTTTTGAACAATTCCTAACAAGCATACTTCAAAAATGAGCTTCCAGTTACTATTCAAGATTTAAAAACATTTATTCTCCCATAGCTTTATAATTATTATGCAAATTACGTATTCGCTGAACAACAGCGCTTAGGAGACACTTTGGCTAAATGATTTGTTACGGTTCGAGTTTTTTTGTTATGCGCGCCTAATTATATCATAATCTTAACCAATGATTATGCAAAGTGTAGATTTTAAGCGAATATAGTTTATAAACCCATATGAACGATTTCACGGAAAGTTGATGATTTTTTCGCAAGAAAACTTCGCTTGGCGAGCCAGCAATTAATTAATTAATAAGCACTCTGTATACAAATTAATATGAGTATTACATACAGGGTGGTTTTTTAGTGCGATCGAGTCCATTATTTCCGACATTGTTGAACTTTCGAAAAATAGTTTCATATAAAAGTTGTTGACGCACAAAGTTCGCACATTTTAAAAACATCTTGTATGATACAGAGAGTACTCAGAAAAGCGACGCAAGATCAAAGAGTATTTGTATTTATGTGTACCCATTTTTTATTAGCTCTTGGAATGCAGCTTGAAACGCTACATATGCACCGGAAATTGTTTTTTTCTTACTTGCGACGTTGGCAGATTATCCCCATTTTAGAAAAATTTTGCTTAAAAACATAATATCTAAGAATTAATTGTAGAAGCAAAAAAAGCAGTTAAAGATACAAAAAAAGTACGTCTTTCCAATTAACACAGATCCGTTATTAATTCTATTGAACCTAAACGTCAATTTTTTATACAGGGTATTAACAATGTGCACTTAAATCTAAAACTTTTTAACGCAATATAACTTTCGTTTTCCAAATGGAAGTACCTGTATATCAATACGTCATTAAATAGACAACTTACAAAGTTACAAATATGTATCAACACTATAAGCTGTGAAATCACCCGTTTTCACATTATAAATTATTTTATCTAAAAATTTCAAAAAGCTGTTACATTTTGTAAGGTGTATTTTGTAATAATATTTGTAGAGAAACAAAATTAATTCGTATATTTTATATTTAGTTTTAGCGTTGCGCATTAGTCACTGCGCGAGTGAATGCACTTAAAGCGTGAGTGAATCATCGAAAAGGCGAACAATGAAATGATTAAATAATCTTGTTTATTCTGTAGTTCCGTGTCTTTTTTGGTCGAAAAGGTATTTAAATGAATTTCAGTTTGCTACTGATAGTGAACGAAATCGATCGATGATCCTTGAAAGTGTAGTGAACTTCTTGAGAATTAATGAATAGGAAATGGAGGATGGCGCCCCAGCTTGCAGAAAGCTGGTAAGAATGATCTCTAGTCTATACATTTTTTAGCTTGAACTGAGTTTAGTTTTCTGAGAAACAACTGTTTTATGAATTCTTTATATATCTCTCTCTTTGATTTCCTGATTTCAAATAAGTTTGGATTTGGAGAGATTTGCTGCTGTACTAAACACATTTTCTTCTTTCTTTCCAGGTGGCCTTACGCAACTTTCGGTAAGCGTGTGGATAGTGTGGATAACAACGATTTTAACAATTTTATAAAAATAACAAAATGTGCATCATACTCTCATTAATTATGAATTATCATAAACTTACTAAAATATGTTTTCAATAGCTTCTTAAAAATGAGTTAACTAGTATACAGGGTGATTCAAAATTAACATTACGTAAATACCTGTGGCTTCGTAATTATTTATGTAAAACTCAGGTAATTATGGAATTCTACAGAAAGTGACAATAAGATGACAATAAGTGACAATAAGTGACAAACAAGGATAAACGGTAAATTCAACGGGAATCGTTGAATGACGGAACCTATTGCGAAACTCATAACCTGGAATTATTAATTTGTTTATACATTAAAAAAACGTACATTGAGTCTGTGACTACAAACAAGTGCCTGTTTAATCACCTTATTATGCACTCTTGCTGTTGAAAGTTGAAATTCGATTTTCAACTGTTAATATCTTCTAGAAATTATCGAAACAAATTGTTTTAGTTTTTTTCTCGTAGTCTCCAAGTGAGCCCCTAATATACCGCATTGACCACTAAAAGCAATGACGCCAATTTTAAATCACCTTGTATATCTTTATTTAATACAAATGAACCAAATTAAATAAATTTTCTTTTCTCAACTCTAATTTTTTTTAAATTACAACTTGAGATGGATTATAATATATTCCAACCAAAACTGTTCTTCCTAAGTACGAGCCAATGACCGTCCCATGCAGTAGCGAACACTCTTTATGTGCATTTTCAATTCCTTTCAATGCACACATTTATTAAAAATTACATTGAATATGAATTGGAAGGATTAAAAAATCAAATAAAAATAATTAAATAAATGTGTATCACACCACCTGATATCCTCGATAAGGGTAAAGCGCAGCTTTATCTCGGCAACGGTGAGGATTAGCGGTTTGAGAAAAAATCCTTATAAATAAAGTTGGCATAAAAAATGGCTGGAAAATGTATTGAAGTTCCTAGCTCGACAGCTAAGAGGCGTAACTTCTACCGCAAGACAAAAGTCTTGGTATATCGGAAAAGGGGGAGATGAGCTATAACTTTAAAATCGTCGTTTGAGAGCTTGGATAATGCCGCATCGTTTAATCTTGATCAATTTTTTGTATTTTTCATAATAAAGACGGGGAGGTCAATGCAGTTTTCAAAACTTTCATTTTAATATCTTCTGAACCACTTAACCTATGCTATTATTTTTGACTCTGTGTGAAAGATCATTTTAATGTTTTTTCAAATCTATTTTTCGTTAAATCGTTTAGTGTGGGAGAAATCAACTAGATGGCGTTTTCTGCAGTGATGACAATTTTTTGTGATTTTTGTAAAGTAGTTAAATGGAACAAGTCGAAATAAGCTACATTTCAGTAAAAATTACATCAATATCTCAAACATTTTACTACAATTAGTTTTGAAGCGTGCTTAAAAGCCAACGGGAGAACAGCACAAATAATAACAATAATAAAAGTCAAAATAGTCTTAGACTATTTTGACACAAAGTTATTATTATTATTATTTATTATTAAATAACCACACAAAGTCATGCCAAAAAGATCTCACAAATGTTCAAAATGTCTTCAATCATTCTCAATTCATTTATTTATTCTAATTTCCGTAGAAAAGATTGATGCTTCAATCTCAGCCGTGGACAAGGTTCTAATGGAATTTTTAATTCGTCCCATCATATTTTCCTTGGTTGTGAGTTTGTCTTCTAAAACCAAAAATTAATATATTTTACTCAAACGACCCAAAAATATAAATAAAACTTTGCGTTGAATCATCAACAAGTTGAGGTTTGACCACGCAATATTCGATATTTTTTTTGCACTGAAAACAGATAAATTGAAACATAATTGATTTCCACTAGTGAGTGCATTGTGCGGGGAAAATTTGTCGCAAAAATAAGACACGTGATAAAGCTG